CCCCAAATTTTCATTTTTTTATTTAATAACCACACCTGCATGCGGTTACGACATTTTGCTATCCATAACCACACCGCCAAATCGTAATAGGAATTACAATTAACGGTTAACCGAACCATTGATCGACAGTTCAAACCGCCAGTTTGGCAGTTCGTTTACAAACCTTGAATAGGTCTATTTGCGAAACTTTGAATCCTAGCTACGCCCCTGTTTGTAGCATCCTAACTTTTGTTGTAGAGGCTTTGAAACTTGTCTTTTAATTATGATTGTGTATACTTGCTTGGTGTGATTTTTGAACTCTAATTTTTTTCTTCTTAACATCTTTTACTAGACTGTCGACACTCGACTTGCCAATCAACTTGTTTTTCCGTGTTGGGTATTGAAATTTCATTAAAAAACATTGACTCTCCCTCCTTTTTTATGTTTGCAATTGTTTTATTATCCTTGTTGCAAATGGTGCGTGAATCTTCCCAATAATATACATTTAGGTTTTAAAATATTAACGAACTTTCCAATAATAACAGTAAGAATGAAACAAAATAATGGTAACTGAATTATTAATAAAAATGGATAGAAAATTAATTAGGTGAATATTAAATAATTAGATTGTTTTGATTTAAACAATTAAGAACAATATTTTTTGTTTAAATGAATGAAGTATGCGTATAATTATAATTTAAACTTTTATATATCATTAAAATAAAATTAGAAGTTTATAATAATATTACTCTTAGATATTATTTTTTAAATTAATCAATATTCACTCACTGATTTACTTTATTATTCTATTACTTCTATGACCATCTCGTGCGTCGCTATCTTTTATTAGTACTCCCTCCATTTTGAAATATAAGGCATTTAAGGTTATTGCACAAATATTAAGGAGACATTAATTAATGAATAAATTGACTAAATTAACCTTATTTACTTTAATCACAACCACTCCACACTTCCTTAATTTCAACAAAATGAGGGTATATTTGGAAAAAAATACAAAAAATTGTCTTGATTTTTGAGCGCGCCTTATATTTCAAAAAAATTGAGAAATCTTTATACGCCTTATATTTCAAAATGGAGGGAGTAACTAAATAGTAAGAGAATAGTATGATATTTATAGCAAGTATTTAAAACTTCTATGACCATCTCGTGCGTCGCTATCTTCTATTAGTAACTAAATAGTAAGAGAATAGTATGATATTTATAGCAAGTATTTAAAACAGTACTTCGGGACTTAATTTTGTTCACCCTATGAGGGGCAATCTTACCTCCTCCTAAATTCACAGAACCGGGTCGGCCCAATCCATGAATATGGGCCGGGTCAGGTCGGGATTCTCATTTTTCCCAAGCAAACAAAGTACACAGAGTTCATCTACTGATTCACACCAAACCAATGAAACCATGTCAAACAATTAAGAAATCAGTACCCATGTGTAATACTAACTAACAGAGAATGTTCCAGTAAGCTTGGCAAGAAAATAAAACAAAGAAAAGGAAAAAGAAAAATAAAAGAGTTGGTAAAGGCACACATCTCATTGATCTTCTGCAAAGCNTGTTTCAAAAGAAAAGGAAAATAACACACAAACACACCAGCATTCACTTCAAAACCCCTCTCCCCCTATGCCCTTTCAACTCGACTGGAATTATCGAAACAGAATCAACACATAGCCCACCTTTCGAATGAGTGCAGTCAATTTGTTTCATCGAAAATCTCACCTCGGTTTCACAATCCGATTGCCTCACCGTAAATTCACCCACCTTATAATCTATCCAGCAGCCACGCTTGTGACTCGTAGTATAATAACTATTACTGTTATTATTATTATTATTACTACTGTCACCGTCATCTTGCTGTGGCTCGTCTAAAAAGCACTCGCTCGACGCTTGTTGGCCATTTGAAGTAGAGAATTCGAACCTAACGGGCTTTATCTCCCATCCATGAGTATGTTCGAAACTTGACACACGGCGCCCGAGCCTCCTGGAAAATCTACCTAGGTGAATTCTAAACGATAGCGTGTATATATCGGGCGGCAAGGGAAATTTTACGGTGCCGTCAACTTCAAACCACCATATTTGCTGTAAATAGGCCACAACACTAAATCTGCAAGAATATGAGCACACAACAGCATAAAGGCTCAAAAACTGGCAGGTTAATGTATTTTAGGGGCCAAATGACAATACAGCATTCTATGTCTGCACGAATGCAAAGATGAGAACAAAAAAGGGTTGCCACAGAAGTTATTGACACAAGTAGCCTGTTTCTCTGTGTTTCTGTTTTGTTATTCTTACCAATGAACTTGTGGTCAATGCCAAATTCAAATGTAAAAAATTATTCCTATTTCACACAGCTTAGATGAAGACTCCATTTAGACTTCGGACAACTTCAAGCAAGTTATTGGCCTGCTAAGTTGAAAAATGCAGCCAAAAACACTGAAATTTACTTTCTAATTGTGATTATTTGATCCACGCCTAAAAGTAAATGAACCCGAAACAACGGCAGGCAAGGAGAAAGATGACCTAATAATTCCAGGATAAAAAGGGATGCAAAACTTTGCTTTATCTGGTGTCAAAATAACATCTGAGATAAATGTTCACAATCTTATCATTTTAAGCTAGACTTTATCTCCCTATTACATTGCAGAGCCCGAACAGAAACCATTGAACTTCACATGCTAAAGAGTAAAGCACAAGAATTCACAATAACTATATCAGGGAAGACATAGGGTTTCTTCCAGGGAAGAGAACCAGTATTGCATTATTTCTAGGCAATAACTGTTCTACTGAGATGAAGTTATGGCATATGAAAGCACCTCTAACTGATGCATATGTGCACATGAATCTCCATCTAGTACTGCCAGAGACTGCTCTATGCTGCTTGCCATGAAATGTTAGGCACATTTTTAAAGTTTCAGTACCCTCTTATTAGATTTATTATTTATCCAAATGAACAATCTAAACAAAGATTCCATAGATTAATCATATCTTTGCTGAAAGACTTAGAAAACTACTACTTCCAGCATTTGAGAAAGTTCAAAAGGTAGCCCAAGTAACGGAGATAAAGAAAACTGTCGAAAAGAGCCATGACATAACAGCAACAGCTTAGCCAGGGTTCTGTCAGGGCATAACTCGTAAGTATTTTGAAATAGTAATCTGAAGTCAACCTAGTTGTACAAAAAATCGTGATTAAAATTGACAGCCAAGTTCTGTCAGGGCATAACTCAATTTCAGATTATGTTCAACTAAGAATGCATTAACACGATTATACGCAAGTCTAAAACAACCACAAGAGTGTTGAAATCTTTCAGTGGATCAATATACATGTCGAGATGTAAAGTGCATCAGACACATAAGGCCAATACTAACCTAGATTCTTCTGTGGGGACCCAATTCCAATATCTCCTGTCCTCAATGCCCGTGATGGCCATTGCCTTAGCTGATACTGACATGCAGACTCTCCCTGTAAATTTGTCCACCCACACCACCTGCAATTGTCCCAAGCTAAAAATGAAAAGTATGTCTACAATAATACAGTGGAAGTGCATACAGAACCCATTTCTTTTTACCACTTGAATCTTGATATGCTTAGTTAATTGGTTTGTGTAGATCTTATGATCTTTTAACCTAATTCAATTCAAAAGGAACTGAAAATTCTGAAAGAACTGATGAATAAATACTATTACCAAATCCAAAGTTGCATCAACACTACTACCAAATCCGACAAGAATAACATATATACTACAAAAACCTCCTCAATTCCTAATTTTTTTTAACAAAACAAGTGAAAGAAAAAGACAATGAACAAAAATAAAATTTCCGAGATCACTGAAAGAAATCAAGCAGCCGCAGAAGATTCAAGTTTAACCCAATTCCACAACAAACACAAAATTAGCTTATGTAATCACGAAGGATTGAAGGTTCTAGCCGTAAATATTGAACAACATGATCACTGGCAAAGCAAACGGAGAAAATAACAAGTAGAAAAGGGAAAAAACGATATATGAACAACACGTGCCTTGTTGCCGTCATCGAAGGGGAGAGGTCGAGATAGGAGGGCAAATATGTCCTTTTTCCGGAGGCTCTGGTGGACGTCGGGGCGGGCCCGGAGGTCGAAGAGTTGGAGGTAATTGGGCGGAAGCTTGGTCTCCCAGACGGCGTCCGACGAGGCGGCGCCGCGGAAGGCGCGGTTGAGCCGGGCCAGGTTGCATATCTCCGGCGGAGAGAGGTAGAGGAACACGCACGCCACGCAGCTCTCCGGTATATCGCCCAGGCCCGGCCCGCCGTTGCTCGGCCCGTTTTCGGTCAAATTGGATAACGATGCGCCCATATACGCGTGCGCGTGAGTTACCGCGTATCAACTGCCGTGTCCAGGCGCCTCTGACTGGTCGAGAATTTCCCGGCGGCGGCGGCGGTGGCGGAGCTGTGAGTGGATGTAGAGGGAAAGAGGATTTCGTTTTCCGACTTGTGCTCTAGTGCTCGTCCATTACTTAATGGGTCTGTCAACGAGCTAGCAAAAATCAAGTTAAATATTAAAAATAAGTTACAATAACTATATAAGTTTGATTTGTTCTCTCCTACACATAAATGTAAAATTTTCCCAAGTTACGTATCGAGTTATGATGTTATATAATCCGATAATTGAATTATGGTAAATTATTGATTCATATAGATTATACGGCGGAAGAAATGAAAAGAAGTGTTTAATAACTTTTCGATTGTGCAATCTTATATGTCGAATTCGTGTAATCCTATTTATCAAGTTCATATAATCGGATTGTGAAATCTTATATGTCGAATTGGTGCAATTCTATTTATCAAGTTCANTATACTATATATATATATATATATATGTCGATTTGTGCAATCCTACTTGTGTCGATTTTGGGTTCATCCAATCCTATGTGTTAAGTTTGTGTAATCCTACTTGTTAGGTTTCGATATCGTGTTAGTTCAATATTATTTATTGATTTTGTGCAATTCCATGTGTCAAAATTTGTGCAATCGTACTTGTTACGTAACAAATTTTGGTGCATACAATTAGGGACGAATCCAAAAATTAATAGTAGATTAGGCTAGAATTATAAAAATTCGCTTTCATAAAAATTACGTAATATTTTTTTTTTTTAAATATTCATTGAAGTTGTGCTCGACGGACTTCTACAAAAAAAATCATTATGTTCATTTTGCATCGTATTTGATGTGCTTTCACTAGTTTGACGTCGATTCCGTTTTCTAAGATGATATCAATCGGGTTTTTCCTTTTTTGGACGAAAGTTGGTGCTCTATGTGGATTTTTAAAAATTCCACAATACAAATAAATAGATTTTTCATATATATGACATAGTTATTAGCAAAATGAAATGCCTACATATCCTAAATTTATATCCAACTATGATATACAACTACCACACGAGAGGATATGAGATTTAAAAAAAGACACACACACACACAATTAATACTTCGTACACAATCAACAAAATAAGAATTGCAACCAAATGATCCTAGTAATTACTATTAAACCCCTAAATAGCTAAACTAAAATGAGAAGATAGAAAAACACAATTAGACAAATAGGGTCACGTAGGCAACCAACGAACACCATTCTGAGCCCGGACGAGTGAGTACGGTCACCTGGCGCAAGAGCGCACGCCAAATCCTACTTATTAGTTGTCGAATTTTTATTAATGCAATTATGTGTATCAATACAAATATCGGTGACCGGGATATTTTTTTCACACTTTTTAACTATAACCAATCTCGCACTTGACACGCAAAGCAATAAATTGCATCTTCACAGAGAAAGGGCAACAGAAGTCGAAGTACTCATATCCCTGTTTTGAAAGAGGCTCGACCGATAAAGAGAGGTAAACGAATACTCCTTCGCTTGAGAAAGAGCAGGGTACGATCCTCGTTGTTCGTATAATCCTATAATAAATACACTTTGAACAATTGTTAATACATTAGTGATAGATATTTTCATAAGAAAACCATTTGATTGTTCCATAGAATTTGTGATGTGCTATATGTGCAATCTTATATACTCCATCCGTTTTGTAATACATGTTGTTTTAGTGTGTCTTTGTTTTTGCTTATTAATTATCGTTTTAGATAACCTTGAACTAATTAATTTTATAACTAATATCTCAACTCCTAAAAATATGTAGGTTAGTTTTTCTTTTCTTTTTTTTTTTTTCTTGTTTCTATTACGTATCTTTATCTAATACTCCATTCTCCTAACTCATTCTAACCACACCATAAATGGAGAGAGAAATTATTAAAAAAAATATTTAAATAAGATTTAGGAGATTTAGATAACTAATTCCATTGATGCTGTAATTTGTTCTTTCAAATTAGAATGACAAATAAAATAAAACAGAAGGAATATGTGGGTTTCTGGTTTGTAGACCTACCAGCAACCACATCTTCACATCTTGTAGTTGTAGCACTAGAATTGTACATAGTAAAATTTGTGTAGGTACAAAAGTAGACTTTGGGCTCCTTAATAAATAAATAAAACTAATTTAATTTATGAGACGGCAACTACTTGCTCTCGCGGTCACCGAGCTATTTTGAATTCGGAGCGAATAAATAAATATGCATCAATTAATTTATGGATGTTACTTGTTACGTTAATTTGTTTAAAATTATAGTGTTGCGAGTTAAATATAGTTTTGAATATTGAGTAGAGATTACAATAATAACAATAATAATAATAATAATAATAATAATAATAATAATAATAATAATAATAATTGAGTAGAGATTACAATAATAATAAAATAATAATAATAATAATAATAATAATTTTTTAGAGACCTACGCGCCACCACTCTGATTTAATAATAATAACAATAATATTAATAATAATAATAATAATACATCTTTTTGTTTGACGAATATGACATTAATTGTAATGGGGATGAAAAGAAAAACCAAATGTAAGTATAACTTATCAATAGAAAATATGATTGTGTGAGTATAACTTATCAAACAATAGCAGTATTATTAGTCTTATATATAGTGAAGTTCCAATATTGGTTATTTGGTTAGTGATACATCTAAGTTTCTGTCATATATTTGGGTTTTAAAATAAATTATGGAAATGATAGTTGTTATGGAATTAATTTGGGTTGAAAAAATAGCATCTGGAAAAGTATGGCATTATCTGAGTTTGGTCTCAAAAGTCATGTTAGGAGTCATTAAATGGGCTAAGATGCAAAACAGAATCAAGAGAAGAAAATATTATCTTTCAAACCTAACATGATAAATTAGTATCACTATCTCACTAATTTAACCACTTAATTTGACCAACTTTATATGAAAATCAAAGTGGAACAGAAAATCTGATCCCTTTGTACGTGCATATCCATATACATGCATATAGCTTCAATTAATTTAAGCTGAGTTTTGGTCATCTCGTTCAAATAAGAATCAACCGTACTGTGAAAATCATCTGAATATTATTAATTGTGTAATGTTAATTTTCTTTACGTTTGTTGCTATTTTAATAAAGATTTATCACTTAAAACAACAATATTGTATATAAAGATAATAATATCTATTTATATGAAAGCACCATATGATATAAAAATTATTATCATACACAATTCAGAATAACATTATATTTCGTTTTTATTGTGCTTATACCAAAATTTATTTTTATTAAAACACATCCTATATATGTTTATCCTTATTTATATTAATATAGTAGGATTTTTAAGTATAAATCTATTAATATATAAAGAGACAGTGTTATTTACTTAAAATAGCAAATAAAAATCAGCAAAAAAAAAAATTTAGTTTCCCGCTTAAAGTATTTACTATATTGAGTAATATTTTTTGTCAAATTTGAAAAATCCCGCCTAAATTAATGTACAAAATTATTTGGTCAAATATTCCGGCTATTACCTTTATTAGTTGCATGATTTAAATTTGGAATATAATATTGATATAGTCATATTATGAGATACTGGCCCAAGCACCCTGCACTCGACCGGACAAATGCTCAAACTGCCCGCATGTCGACATGCCAAGAGTCGTTTCTTCACATAATGACCGAGAGAAAGGGCGAAATCCATGTAAGTCGACTTCCAGCAGTCGATTCCAGAAGTCGGCTTCCACTTAAGAACAATGAAGCATAGCCTCCGAAGACCTATACGATCAGGAGTCGACCTCTTCGTGCTCGAGGTCGACTTCTTACGCCTCGAGGCCGAGAACGTGATGACGACTCATCACACTTGCAGCATATTTGAGGCTCTGCACTCGTCAATGGATAAGAAGGAATCTAATGGTGACTCAGCAGTAAGGGGAGACGAACCGACCGGGGTATTCCGGACATTTCACGTGAGTCGAGCAGGGCATTTTGGGTACTTCAAGTAAGTGTTCTCTCCTATATAAAGGAGGTGAGGTAACCCTAAACCCTAACTCCCATTCATTCATACTCTTCTCTGTAGCTGTTGTTGTTGCTCTCTGAGAACAGCCTCCTTTCATCTCTCTCACATACTGACTTGAGCGTCGGAGGCTCTACGCCGTAAACACTTCCGGCGTTGAGTTCTTGCAGGTGTTGGTACGGTCTAGCAACGGTTGGAAGGCGATTCAAGCAGATCTGAGCTCAAAACCACTATAATTTGGCACGTATTAAGAGGAACATATATATATATAGCCACACATTGTTATTTTCATAGATATTGTACATATTATAGCCAAAACTAAACGTGCTGACTAAATGGATAACATAAATTCATAATTTTATGCAAAATGACATTTTTACTAGGTTTAAGTAACTTATAGAAGTAGACGTGACTACACATGAAAAAAGGAAAGATTGAAAAATAACGAAAACCATTGACAAGTTGAAAGTTCCTTTGAAATTAAGTAAATAATAATCTTATTGGATTTGGATTTGTCAATATGAAAGGGGACATCCAAATTTTTATTTATCGAACAAACATAGACATGATCTGAGTCGCATATTCAGACACTGCAATATTTATACGAACCAAATATAAAACCAATAGCCCGTATCCCTCTCTCAAGTAACAACAGTCTTAATTTCTTGTTTGTCATGACAAATGTGTTACAATCAATGATAAATATGGCTAATTCAACTCTCACAGTAACTGCAGAGCGATTATCAAGGCGTGCTTGAATACAAATATATTAGTACAAAACGATTTTTTTTATTAACCAGGATTAATTTTGAAAATAGTGGTACGATTAGTTGTCAGATATTTTATTGTTAAATTTTGAAAATGTCAGGTTAGATAGATTTTGAATATGAATTAAATTTATTTATAAACAAACTTACCTTAAATTTTTTACTGTTTGATCAATAGATCCATAAATAAATATATTTAGGAATTCTGTTATCATCTTTGAACTTCTTGTGCAGGGCTAGTCATATAGACATCTCAACATCATTGAAAGGGACACATTTTTAGGCAACTATCAATTTTGTATTGTCAAGAACTTGAACCTAGGCTTTGGGACAAAAGTTTTAGCATGCGCTACACGTGTTAATTGTCTAAGTTGACAAATGGACGTAGACATATAATAATAATAATTAAAAAAAGCCACATTAAAAAAAAAAAGACAAAAAAAAAACAACACGCCCAGTGGGACTCGAACCCACAATCGCCTGATTAGAAGTCAGGCGCCTTATCCATTAGGCCATGGGCGCGCTTTATGCTTTTTTCCCGTCTTTATTTAGTAGGAAAGTACATAACAATAGTGGCACAAAAACATCTCCAATGCTCTATTGTTGTTGTAGAATAATTTTTACCAAATGTCAATAAATTAAATAGATTTTGAATCATTTATTAAAAATGTTATGTCTACAACTATGAAATTAAAATATTATCTCCAAATACACAATATAGTCTAACTACAATATTTATACTTATCAAAATTTAAGAAATTTTAAAAAGAAGAATTAAATTAATTAAATAATTAGATTGTTTATATTGGTAAGAATATTTCTCTCTCTTTTTTCATTGGTTAGCTAGAGTGTAGAAGAGAATGTGAATGAACCACATTCTTCTCTACATTGTAGACATTAATTATGTCCACATCATCACAACATTTGTAATCACATTGTACATTGAAGATAAAAAAGTGATGAATTTATTAATGTGTTGATGTGAAATGTAATTTATCACAACAACATTTGACCATTGAAAATGCTCTAAGAGCATCTCCAATGAGATTTTGACTTAATAAAATGTTAGCCACATCATCTAGTTATAAAGTGATTACAAAAATTACTCTCCAATCCATAATGTTATGTACTATTTTATGCTGACATGGAGAAAATAAATATCCAAAGTTTGAAGCCCACTTTCTAGTTTTCCAAAGTGGGTTTGAAAGCCAACTCATAAAAAATCTAACTTATTTTAAGCTTTTGAAAGGGATGCATTGGAGATGTGCATTTCAAATTAAAGTCTTATCTTTTGACATTTATATTACATGGATTTACATTCCATTCATCATTTGACATGTGTTCAAATTTAATTAATGTTGAAAGTGGAGCATTGGAGATGCTCTAATACATGAAGCTGCTTTGAATTTTGACAATTAGGATTTAGTCAAATTCGCATTTCTCGACACAATGTTGATATGATTTATGAAGTCATTAACCAACAAAATTTTAAGAAATCATCCGCTGCGCATCAGACACATTTTATTTAAAAAAGTAAACAACAAAAGAAATATCGTAATATGTTTATATATAAATTCAACGACTTCCATTTTTAAGATAAAAATCTATACTTATATTAAAGGGGGTACTATTTACCAAATTAAGTAGTCAGAAAAGTCAACAGCATTTATTGCATTACTATTTCCGTATTATACTATATAAAAGGATATTCTATTTACTACATTTACTATCCAGAAAAGTCAACTGTATTAAATGTCATTACTATTTTGGTATTATAATATTTTATTTATTTAATTAATTTATTTATTTGTTTTATTTTAAAAAGGTAAGTATAATAAAAAGATTTTAATAATAAAAAAATCAAATACCAAATAAAAATGTACACTTTGACTTATTTGATTATATTTGGTATTTGATTATACCAAATATATTCCTATTTAATATATACATGAAATACTTACTAAAGTATTTATTTGTTTTTATTTGTCAAAGTTAAGTATAATTTGTTTATATGATCAAATCATAAAAAAATATTAAATCCATATTGTAAAAAATATTCATATAATTTTATAACAATTCTACTACACTATTTAACAGTATTCCTTTTTTATTATATAATAAAATAATAATTAAATATTATATGGTGAACAACAATAAGTAAAACTGTTACTTTCTCTTATATCAAGGGATAAATTTATATGCTAAAATTAAATTTTTAATAATATAAATGTTTTAGTGAGATAATATATTAATTATTTTACAAGCTAGCCCTAACATGCTCATATTTAATGTTTTAAAAGATGTAGAAAAAAAAATTTATAATAACTCTATCGTTTTTTAGACTTAAACGTTGATTAAAAGAGGTAAAAATTCTAAATTTTTTAGACTTAAACGTTGATTAACACCATAAATTGAGAGTTTATATTTAGTAAATACCTAATTGTAATAAAAAATATAATTTTTGCTATAATTTAGAATATCATTAAATTCATTATAAAAAAAAAAGAAAAAAAAAACTACAATGAAAAAAGCAAGTCAGCTATACATCGATTTGTTGTACTCCTCAAATCACATTCACAATTTGGCTACAAGGAAAGGAAACTCATTCATTAAAATATTATTTTGTCAGTAGTCTTATTGTACAAGAGACTTTAAGACTCCACTTGAATATTATAAAACTTTTATTGAACATTGTACAATTTCTTGCGTATTATAAACTTTTATTGAATATTGCATCTTTTAATATAATATTATCCAAACTCCACTTGAATATTATAAAACTTTTATTGAACATTGTACAATTTCTTGCGTATTATAAACTTTTATTGAATATTGCATCTTATAATATAATATTATCCAAATAAATATATCTCGTACTTCGCACGTACTATATATATCCCGTACATTTTTCTTTATTCATGTATATAATTATAAGCCTGGATAAATAGCCTTAAAATTATGCACCCCGTGCATCGCACAGGCTCTGTACTAGTTAAACATAAAGTGATGAAAAAATGCTACAAGTACATAATAAATGCCCATAAAAGTGTACATAACACATATGGAATGAGGTCCACTTAATTTTATATTTTTAGTAAGACCCACCTAATGTGAGTGTTATGCACAACTCTATGTATAATATTATGTATTTATAGCATTTCTCAAAGTGATGTATAAATTTATATTAAAGATATAGTGGGACATAATTTCACCACAAAAATGTATCAAAATCTGCCTCAAAGTTCTATGTTCATTTTGTAGTATAAAATTCAGATATTTACTTGCAGAATTAAAGGATTTGGAACAAGATAACTGCAAACATCAGTTATCAGTATCTGTTCTAAACATAAACATATATAGTAGCCAATTAAAATTCAAGATCAAAACTCATTGTAGTAGAAAAATAAAAAAATAAAAAAAAATCGATTTCCAGCCGTATTTCACCCGAACCCAGGTAAAGAAAAACGATGAAAGGAAAGGAAAATAAACAGAACGGGCGATTTATCTTAAAAAAAAATCTTAATAAAAAACATATCGGCATTAGACATCTCAGTATTATTAGTCTTCGAGCTCGATAATCTTGACAACAGATGCATCTCCGACTTTCTGGCAAACAACGACACGATCGTGGGACTTTATTACACCTGAGGCTTTCCCGTGATCGAGCGCAACCTTCAAAACGGATTCGTTTGTCGCATTTGTAGACTCAGCCTATCAGGAGGGAAAAAAAAAATGATGAACAAGGAAAAAAAAGAGTAGGGAATTCTACATTTTACCAAAAAAATGATGGGTAAAAAGTTTAGAGGATATAGAAAATTCTTATTTCAGGGATTACAATTTTCCGGTTCTTGTTAGAGGTACAAAGGCTAAAATGCTATTTTTGCCCTGTTAGATTATTATGAGGGTAGCAGTTTAGGTTGGTTCCACTCGAGTGACGTAACATTTTAAGTCCTGTAATTTATATATTTGGGATGGAATTTTTGTTAGCAATTTAAGTCATGTAATTAATATTTTGTTACAATTTCAGTCCTTACTTAAAATGTTATAAGTCACTCCAGTTAGGGCTGCAAACGAACCTAGCAGCTAGCGAGCGTTCGAGTCAGAACTCCACTCGAGCTCGAGTTAGACCGAACTCAAGTCGAGCTCGAGCCCATATTTTGCATTGTCGAGCGGCTCGTCGAGCGGCTCGAGATATATGTTGAATTAATAAAATACTCCTTATATATATATATAGGGGTATAGCATAGGTGCTTAATGGTAATTTTATTTTTTCACTTACAAAATTTCTAGCCGAGCTCAAATAATTGTACTTTTTTTATCGAGTCGAGCTCGAGTCTCATACATCGAGCTCGAACAGCTAAAACAAAAGATCAATCCTGCTCGATAATGCCAATGCTCGGCTCGTTTGCAGCCCTAACTCCAGAGCATTTGCTGCCTTAATATAATTTATATAATTTAACAGGACGAGAATTGCATTTTAACCGAGGTACAAATACCTTTTTGGATATTTCAAAAAGAGTAATGCTATAGAACCAACTTGAATGACAACTTGAGTTACAATTCAAGTGTAAATGCATTATTTTTTAACTTTTTGATAATATATTTACACTTGGGTTGAAACCCAAGTTGTAATCCAAGTAGGCTAAATAGCATTACTCTTTCAAAAAGCCCCATATCTTCTTTATTTTGGTATATAAGTCTCTCTTAAGTGTTTTTTAATTTGTTTTGCCCCGTTTTTTACATTTATACTGTGGAAGTATGAATGCCATATGTCAAAAAATGAAGAATAGAATAACTTACAGGATGACGAGGATCAGCAAGCAAGGGGAACAGCCCACGTACTATAAGCGATTGTCTTGCCTATAAAAAAGTAAGGTAAAAAAGTTATTACCACATAGTGGCCTTCAGTAGAATTAAATCATTGAACTCAAAGAATGAAGAATCCAGTAATGGAGTATCAACAATGACAGCAAAATTCTCGAAGCAATTCAGTCAATAAGTAACCCTGAATCTATAGAAGATACCCTTTTTCAATATTCATGCAATGCACTAAAAAGAACTGAGATATAATAAAACTTTAGGGTATGATATAATCTTTGATCAAGGGTTAGGCGTGTACCTCAAATGCACCACTGAAACTCCACTTCAGTTGATTGGTCTTCAGTCGAGGGATCACAACAGATAAAACCGGCATTGTAGGCCTATATTTTGCTATCAATCTGTACCAATGAGAAGAATGTTTAAACTCGTGTATTTAAATGCAAATGAATATATTAGACTAACAGACGAAGAAAAAAAAATGAGAAAAATAGTATGAAACCTTGCTGCTCTCCCAGACGATGTAAAGCATATGATAACGGATGCCTTCACTTTAAGGGCAGCACGAACCTAATGTTAAAAGGAAGAAAATGTTAGTGTAAGTGCACTAGATTATTGTTACTTTTATTATTATTATTATTATTATTATTATTATTATTATTATTATTATTATTATTATTTGGAGCATACCGCAGAGGAAGCAATAGATTCCAAGTGGGTCATGGGTTCCCCGACAAATTTCACCGTCTTCTTAAAGTATTGGTCTTGATTGAAGACCTTCTCTGCCTGTTAAAATAATCCGAACAATTACACTTACATTTTAGCAGTTCAGTATAAAAAAACATCTCAAACGCACTTGAAAAACAAAATGAGCAAATGATTATTCGTTATACGACAAAGAAAAGGATATCTAAAACATATCTCCAGTTAGTATAAGATCATATAAGAACCAATTAAAGTTTACATTAGGCAACAATATGACTAACTAAACTAACCTCGGCACAAATTTTGCCGACAGTGGAAATAGTTTCAACAGGGTACAATCCACGTAAGGTCTCAGCACCAAGAAGAATTGCATCACATCCTGAAAAAATGTACAACATGAAAAATATAACCCGTGACTGATAGGTTTAACCAATAAGAACAAAAAAGGCCAAACCATCAACATTATATCCGGAACAGATATTATAAAATCAAGTACTTCCATAGCTAACGACAAAAACGGGAAGTATAATACTAGTGCAAGTTGATTACAAGGGTGTTATTGGATAATAAACTTAACCAAAAAAAAACCAATCAAAACTCTAACGTAACTCAAATTTAATTCAACTCCACTATCGTCAATATTATCGCAATATTATCAGTATAATTAAATAACATCAACCAATCATTCTTACACATCACATCAACTTTAATTCACTATTCATTCACTCACATAATTTAAACTAACCACCACTTCACATTATCTCCCTCCTACTTTTACATCAAATCAACTTTAATTATTTTAATTTAAACTTAAATTTCCACTAATAACTATCCATACCACATTTTTTCAAAATTAACTATGGTTAACAAAAAATACCAGATCAAATCCATATACAATCACACCATAAATACTAATGGCAATTACTAACCATCTAAGACGGCATTAGCAACATCAGTTGCCTCAGCACGAGTAGGCCTGAGATTATCGGTCATACTATCGACCACACGAGTCACCACAGCTGGCTTACCCGCCATGTTACATTTGTAAACAGCAGATTTTTGAAACAAAAACACCTGCAAATGCGGAAAAAAAAGTTAGCAAGATTTACTCTAAACAGTTAGGTACGAAAAATAGTTATAACACGACACCTTCTCAGGTGGGAGATCAATGCCAAGGTTCCCACGTGATAGGATGATGCCATCTGCCTCCTGAAGGATCTCATCAAAGTGGGTCAACCCCTGCAGAAAAAAAAGGCGAGTCGAATTTATGCAGTTGTACCTTTTTCAGTTTAGACAAATGTTGATAAGTTTTTATCTTATCTGAACTATGAAAATATAAGAATATAAAATTCACCTCGACATTTTCGATTTTAGCAAAGATTTGAGTCTGGCTTAGATCACCAAGCTTGGATAGAAAATCACGCGCCTGCAATAAAAAACGTAAGGGTGTGTTTGTTTATAAATTATCTCAATTCATACTCAAAATCTAACTCAATTTCAACTCAGCTCCACTATCCTCAATATTATCAATAAAATTAAATAATACCAAATAATTATTCTTACACATGAAATCAATTTTAATTCACTATTCATCCACTCAAATAATTATAAATAACAAACAATCACTTAACATTATTTCTCTCCTACTTTTACATTAAATCAACATTACTTATTTCATTTTAAATATTATTTTAATATAAACTCAAAATCCCACTAACAACAAACCATATCATTTTTTTCAAACTTAACCATGGTTAACCAAAAAATCTCATTTTGAACGGATATGTTTGTATCCAAGCACGCCCTAAGTGTCTTAACATTTACATGACTTGAAAAATCATAACAAACTCTGCACATTGACAGTATTAAGGAATACCTCACGAACATCCTCCGCGTGACGTGTGTATGACAATGAAAGGAAATCAATTTTGTTCTGAACACCCCAAGTGCTGATAGCCTGAAACATCAAAATGATGCACTTGACAATTTATAACATGGGCTAATAGGTAATTTTATGGTTCTTTGCCATAGCATTTTTTAGTAAATTCAAGAAAGCCAATTTTAGGAGATAGTTACTTTCCCATAATTCAACAAGTTCCACAATTACAAAACCAAAAAATTGGATAAAAGGCAATATTTGTGCTTCCACAACATCAAATCTTCTTCATAAAATGAACGAAACGAAGAACAAACATAATATGCACCACTCACCTGCTTGTCCTGATCAGTTAGTGTGGGCAAGTCGATATGAATTTGAGAAGCATGCAGAGTGAACAAAGCTCCAGCCAAGGTTGCAGAATTCTTGATAGCACAAACCACATCATCACCTTTCACTTCAATTACCTGCCCGCAAAAATCACCTTTAATAAAAAAATTCAAAAAACAACTTATTACTTAGAATTGGTTGTTCAAAGACAAGGGCCACAAAATCCAGTCAGAAAGCCCCCAGGTTTTCTTCTATCTAAGTAAGATCACAACGCCAAATTTGCACAGTAAAGACACAAAAATTATATAATTACAAACAGTGACACAAAAGAGATTGCTCAACTTACAAACATCGCTAAAGTTGTTTAAACTACTGCGAAAAGACAAATAATTAGAAATTCAAAATTACACCTCATACCTCAAGCCAGACAGAAGTTGTTTCGCTTCCAGTGAATAAGTACTGACCGACAAAAATGGTGTCTCCCTTCTTCATAGCCTGCAAACAGTTTACTTTGATTAGATGGTATCTCACTATCTCAGCAGAAGTTATATAGCTAGAAAAATAGGCAATGTCCAAAAGTTAGAGCAAAAAACTGCAAGCCAACTAGAGTTGGAACCTTAGCCAGCCCAGCAAAGTTGATTGGCAAAACTTCAGAAGATGCTTCTTGACCTTGATCAGGTGTCAGAATAACATTGTCATCTGCCTTGAGAGTTATAGCTTTCTCACTTTTATTAACAACTTGCATTTCAGCACCCACAGTGTCGAGCATAACCTGAAGAGAAATCAAAAACAATAAGGTATATGTGATAATTACACTTATCAGTCACATTGTGACACATTTTCAGATAACACACATGCCAACAACCTAATCAAATCGCACAATTACTGGAAAATGAAGAACCAACACCTAATCAAATCAATTTATACTTACGGCACAGAGTTTCTTACTGCTCTTAATAGCAGTCTTCAAATTCTCCAAAGTCTCCTGGTGATACTCCGCATCACCCCACGAAAAATCAAATCTTGCCACTGCCCGTCAACAGAAACAAAAATAAAATGCAAAAATCGGACGAAAATCAACAGAAGAAACTAAACCCACAAACAGAAAAGGAAAAAAAGAAAAAAAATAATTACCAGACATTCCAGCTTTAAGACAAGATGAAATAACCTCAACGGATCGCGAGCGCGGGCCGAGAGTCCCTACAATCTTCGTCATAGCAGGGAAGAAACTCTGCACCCAAAGCCCGAATAAACCAAATCAAACCCATATTGCGTGAAAAACAGATCTACACGAACTCACAAACTTTCACCCAATTGATTAAAAAAAATAAAAAATACACAAAAACTCACAGCTTTGGATGGCTCAAGGATGGTGGCCATCCGGATTGGCTCCTCGAGCAGCAGATGACTCGAATGCATTTTTTCTGGGGTTTGAGTTGAATTTGGTTTTCTGCGTGAATAACTGAACCTCGAGTGGGAATAGGTGATTACGAAAAGCAGAACAAAATTGTTGGGTGATTGATTCTATGCTCTTTTTGTGGTTGCTGGTTCGACACCTTTTCTGAACAGATGAAAAAAATGGAAAAGAATGTGAGAATGCAATTGAGAGTGGTAAAATGGCCTCACTTCCTTTTGTTTTCTGGTTTGATTTATTAGGTTGAGGAGGAAATTACGTGTGCAGTTTTGAAGGGGCTGGGTTTCTTTTTCCCAAAGAAATCTACTTTTTTTTTATTCCCAGTGCCATTTATTGTTTTCTTTTTATATTTTGGACTTTGAGTAGAGGTGTAAATTAATTGAATTTGAACTTGGGCTGTGCTTGAAACTAACTTATAACTTGTTTGATTAGCTTATAAGTTTTTTGTATTTAAATAAGTCTTGCTTGGTAAGATGAGCTTTTTAAGCTACTTTACGTAGCTTTTCAAATAAGCTAGTTGAATTTTTTATTTCAGCTAGCTTATCAGCTAATTTTATCAAAACACTTTATCATATAAGCTTTTCAACTATAAGTAATAAGCTATAAGCTATAAACTAAAAAATTACAAATAAACTATAAGTTAGCTTATCAGCTAGTTTTAACAAACATAGCCTTAAGCTCATGTCAAGTCTTTATCGAGCCTAACTGGAATAAATGAGCTCAAGCGTGACTCTTGTGTGTAAGTCTTTGTAGAGTGGAGCTGAACTAAATGAATTTAAGTTTGATTTATTTATTAATATTGATTAATTAAACTATAATGAAGTAACATAATAAATTTTATTAGCGAACTAAACTCACGAGTGGTTTGTTTTGTTTAATAACTTTGCTTCCAATCTCTATTACTCCACAAAATACACGATTTATTAAATAGTTAATTTATAATACTCTTTAGGTTGACATATATTGGTGTTTTTAGCCGATTTAATAGTTGTATGATGTTTGAACAAAAAAATATGACATTTCATTATAGAATCATATATCCTGATTGATGAATATGATGATTTTAGCTACAATATATACTGATCTTATAATTTTTACCTATATATTAATATAGTTTATGGAGGACTGGTATTTTGATGCCTTGTGGAAAATAGAATTGTTACTTTTGACAGAAAAATGCCACCTTCATAGTTGATATGTTGGTCACTCGGTTGATTTACTACATATAAAATATTTTCGCGTTTTTATTTATATATTAATAATTTGTATATTTATTATGAACAGATCCTAGTATGCAAGCAGCAAATTGAAAACATGTAAACTTTACATTCGTGATAAAATTTATTTACTCTTTTCTAAACAGGTGAAGTCTGATAGCTCTTTATTTTCTCTCAGAAAAAAAAAAAAATCATAATAATTATTAATTAATCTATTTTTATATTTATCTACTCCCTAGAATAACATACCAATAACAAGAATATTTGTATTTGTGTCAATTGTCAATATTGTGCTTTGGAAAACAATCACATTGACCTTGACCGTTTCAGATTTTTTACTTTTTCTTCTCAAAGTTCAAATTACCGCAATAATTCTCGCTTTTACCATACAGTGTCAATTTTACATGAAAAGTTTTTGTTAAAACTGTGGGCCAAATCGAGTGGCGGGTAATTCAGTTGGTGCCTAATGCATGCACTTCATTTCCTTTTATTTTTCACTGCAAATATTTGATATGTACATGGTGACATTATAACAAGATTCCAACCAAGAGGATAAACTGTTGAACATTTAATTTATTAATATTTCCAAATAAAAATAATATTTTCATTAATTATTTCATAACTTGAAACATTCGAATGGCTAAACTAGTTGATACAATCCAAAATATAAGTTTTATGTATTGAACAAAAAAAAAATCCCATCCGACTGGGTTAGGGGCGTAGCTAAAGAAGGACCACTGAAAAAAATATATTATCTTATATACTATTAATACTCCATTAATAAAATCTATATATATATTATTGCTAGCTAAGCAATAAATTTTACCTAATAAATAAAACCTAATAAATTTTACCTATGTGGCAAATTATTAATAAAACCTAATAAATAGAACCTAATAAATTTTATTTATGTGGCATTAATACACTCAATCTCATTAATAAGAAAATATTTCATTACATTTTTTGGGTTAATTAAGACAAAAACCATTTTTATGTTAATTGATTAATAATTATATTTTTTATTGAATAATATAATAGTTAGTATTAAAATTAGTAATTATATTTTATACTAAATAATATATGAAAGTTACATAAAATTATTTTTTATACTAAAATCAATATTCTTTTATATGATGAAGCGGTTGTTTATTAATAAATTACATTTTTTTTATGTCATAGTAAAATTTCTTAAAATCACATAAGCAATTGTTATAATAAATGTAATGTTTTTCAGCTAATTAATTGGTCATGATCACTCAAAATTATAAAAAGTATATATTTATTACATTTTATGCAATCAATATAGTGATTCGTATACAATCAAATCGTGTGTACTATTTATTTTAACCAATGATCAAATTTTAAAATATAATACTATTATATAATTTATAATTGTAATATTATATACATAAATATAACTTATAATACTATATGTTTGAAATATAATACAATTATATAACTTATAATTTTTATATTATATACATAAATATAACTTAAAATATTTAATTTTATTTACATCTGTGCAAATGCACAGGGTCGAATACTAGTAAAAAATAAATAAAAAACAATGGGAACATGAAGAAGAAGAAGGGAAAAAAAGAGATAATGAAAAAAAAAATTACTCTTCTTGTTAATTTTGGTGAAAGCAAATTTAGACCTTTTCCTTATTAGATTTGATATAAAAATTAAAAATTTAAACGTGTAGTTAATTGAATGTTGTTTCTTAAAGAAATATTAACATATTTAAATGTATGTGTGATTGATAACTTGTAGGACTCTGAAAAGTTTGATATAATAGATAAAACATTTATACACGATAATTTATTTTTTATATCAAATTATGGAGAAATATTTTTATAAATAGTCTTCACAAAGAAGGGCCTGTGAAAATATTTCAAAATTAGCTACTTTTAGTCCAAATATAATTAAGGTGAATTATAATATTGTTAGGCCGAAACAAAATGTAAAGGTTTTATTGTAGAGTCATACCAAACTATGAAAACTCATAAGAATTTCTATAAATGTGTATTTTTGTATTTATATTTTGTTATGATGTAATATATTTAGGGCTTGTTTGGAAACACTTATTGAGAAGTCCATTTTAAGATGGACTTTTTGAAAAGTAACTTCCCAATAAGTGTCCAATATAAACTTATTTGAAATGGACTTTTTGTGGGAGTTATTTTTTTATAAGTCCATTTTGTTATTTACACCAAACATCTTTTTATATAGGAAGTAGGCTTTTATATATAGTCAAAAGTTCATTACAAAAGTGATTCCAAACATACACTTATGTCCTAGAAACAAGTAGGCCCTCACTCATATTATGAGTTATATCCGCCCCTGGACTGGGTGATTTTTGACCGGTTCAAACAATCAAAGATTAATTTTTGAACAGATAGTTGAACGTTTTAGCATACATGTGTCTTGTACATTCATAATGTTACTCATTGGCTAGAAATTTCATTTTTTTTAAATGTATATATATTTTTTTTTGTCATGTTACACAATATAGGATAGTAAATAGATCATATGTTTTAAATTAATAGAAACAGACAAAGATGATATCATTGGTCTTTTAGGATAGGATGAAATTAAGTGGACAAAGGAGTTCAATTGCTAGAGTCCACATGCCACAATATCCCATTCAACATCCAAATGAATGATTCTTATATCATAGCCCAAAACAAAGATCATATTAGTGCATTGCATGCTACTTGAAAGTTATGTGAAGTGTGTGTTAGCCATAAATATAAAAAATGATTGAAAATATCTACACGTGATGATATGAAATATGATACACCTCTCAAACTAAATAATTTTAGAATGGGTCTCTAGAATGGACTCATCGTGACTTTAATGCCTATAGCGTAGTCCGTGGTACTGCGAAAACGGGCATTGCACATGGGCTGGCCCACATATGTAAACGGGCCTTTCAGATACATGTGATTTTTCTTATTGTTTTTTAGAGGGATTATTTTTTTTCGGGGCCTGTTGTTGGGTGCTGTATTCTTGTCGAAAATTTGAGAACCTGCAATATGGAGAAACCCATAAATATATTTTTTATATGAATTGAACTGATGGCCAAGAGTAAGGGTGAGTAAAACCGAGCCAGATCGTACAATTCGGTGCAGTTTCAGGACGTCTTGTTTATGTAAAAATATTTCGGTTCGATTTCGATTCGATTTTTTCCGACATTGCGGTGTTGTTATAGTTTTCATAAGTTCGGTTTCAATTTTGTTCGGTTCGGGAAGGTTTTGCATTGAACCGCACCAAATTGAATAAAATTTATAGGAAAACCGAGGTAATCCGAAAGTCGAGTCAAACCGTGCATTTCAGTGCAGTTCTGTTCGATTATTTTAGTATAAAATATTTCGTTTCGGTTTCGGATCATATTCTTTTTCCAAGTTGCGGTGTAGTTCGATTATCTTTTCTCATGGGCTCGGGTTTTCAGTTTTTTTGGTTCAGTGCAGTTTTTCATCGAACCGCACCCTTTGCTCGCCCCTAGTCAAGACAGCTTCAACTCCTTAAATTAGTAACGCCAAGTTTGAAAAGCTAATTAGGACTGTTTATTAAACGAGTCAAGCTGAATTTATTCGTAAACGACTCATTGTTTTAATTTCTTATTTCTTGTGATTTTTAAATGAAACGACCGAACAAAGTAATTCGCGAACAAACATAAAAATGTTATCGAACAACTCGTATAAAATTGTAAGTTTATTGAACGAGTCAAACCGTTTTAAACCGAGTTTTCACAAAATCGGCTCGGCTGGTTACGAACGTTCGCGAACAAAAGCTCATTCGTGTTCGAGAAAAAGTCGTCCGTCTGTTAATCGAGCCGAGTTCGAACAGAAAATTAGGCTCGTTTAATAATCAAACGAACACGAGCTCGTTCGCGAACATTAATTTAATACATTTTTTTTTTATTTTTTTATATATTTATATAATATTTTTTTAAAAAAATTCTATAAGATAAAAATATTTTTATTTTATTTCGAGTTCGAACGAATAAATTTTGAGTTGATAAAACATAATTAAAAAGTTTATGTCCTAAATTATTCAAACACGAACGAACTCGAGTTTTGACGAACAATTAAATGAACGAACTCGAACATGATTCTTTGCTCGAAAAATATACGAACGAACACGGACACCGTTCGAACGTAAACAAAAACGAATTCGAAACGCTAGAGCTCGGCTCGTTCGGTTCCATTATATCACTACGAATAACACCCCTACCAAAAAGGTATATTATTACGATTACTATTATTGCAATTTTTCATTTTACTAGTAATGCCGCGTTTCATCAAAATTGCTATGAATTCCTCAAGCCATATATTTGGAAGGTAGCTCCATGTTTGACTTTTAAGTCTTTGAACCGGACATAAGACGGAGTCAACGAGTGCCAAAATCATGAAAATTCGAAAAAAAGAACCATAACATGCCTATCTAATTCATTCTCGATTCGCTTAAATGAATAAGCTAAAGAATCATTAAAAAAAAAAAAAAAGTGTAGCTAAAAGCGTGTCTCAGCTAAAATCTTCCATATCTTCTGTAGACAACCCACGATTTTTGACGAATTATGCGTATGCAACACCCAAGGATGATTCACATAATTCCTACATTGACCTCAAAACAGCATAATTAAAGTGCAATAAACATTTTTTAGCAAAAAAAATAAAAATAAAAGGTACCTATAGATGATGCTACTTGAATCACGTTTTCGTGAAAATGGACATTTGTATTTTGAAAATATCAAAAAGCAAAATTCACAAAAATCCTCCCCTCTCCTACCTCTTTTGTGTTGATGTTATTTTTTTTTTTTTGGATTTAGTATACTATAATCTTCCTTTATGAAGGTTGCGTAGTTTTCTCTATGAGTGTTTTATCTGTAGGTAGAGATGTTAAATAGTCCTTGGCCCGACGGGCCGGCTCGTTTAACTCGAAAAAAGAGAGGGTTAGGTCTTTTTATTAGTAACCCGTTTAAATCAGGGCTTTTTAGGCCCGGATCGTTTAGCCCGAAGCCCGCTAGGGCTAGTCCGGAACCCGCTAGGGCTGACCCGTTTAACTAAGGTTGGGCGGTGTAAATGTTTGCATCAAGTAAGTAATATGCTCTTAAATTCCTTGTATATTACAATTTTGATATTCCACTTCACATGTAAGTACGAGTTGTAATGGATTATTATGATTTTGAAATATAATTATTAACAATGTGTTATTGTACTTCATACCAAAATATTTAAGCCGATCAGAACGACTATTAAGAAATACATGAAACATAGTGATAGACGGTAAATACTAAATAGCCGTTGAATATAATTTTTAACTAGCCGTTGTTATTTTTTTTATATTTTTTATTCTTTTTTTTTATGATTATTATTATTATTATTATTATTATTATTATCATTATAGCCATAGCCCGCATAGCCCGTTTAGCCCGAAGCCCGCTAGGGTTAAGGTTAGATCCTTTTTTTGGTAGTCCGTTTAAATCCGGGTTTTTTAGGTCCGGACCGTTTAACTCGAAGCCCACTAAAGCTAGCCCGAAACTGCTAGGGATAACCCGTTTAACATCTCTATCTGTAGGGTTTGTATTTTCATGATTTCATCGATCTCTTACCATGTGCGATGAAGTTATTTAGTTAAGTGTACTTTTTTTTTAATTGTTTGAAAAGAAAATTACTATCTTGAAAGTTGAAACAATTTCCACCTCATGACAGTCATTTGAAATTTTTCTATAGCATACAAAATGCTTCAAAATCGCCTCGTAACAAGTCACTCGTTACATACAATTCAAAATCAAGTNGAACTAATAACAAATTGACAACAAAACTAAATTCTAAACTAATTCCCCAAGAACACCATAAACTACACCAATCCAAGAACCAAATCACATAACTAAAGCCCAATAATCAACCTCATTTTTTCACGGAGACATCGAGTCGCGCGACTCGACGTAATCCTCCCCTAACGGCGTCTGTGCGACCCGAATCTCCTCCACCATCCGGACCACTTCCCGCATGGTGGGCCTCTTATCGGGTTGGCTCACCACGCAGGCCATGGCCACATGCAAAACCGACACAAGCTCCTCCTCGATGTTCTTGTACCTCGACAGCTCCCCATCAAAAACCTCCGCCGTCCACTCTTCCTTCACCATCGACCGAACCCAACCGGGCAAGTCCGCCGCCGGCCCATCGGACCCTGACGGGGCCCGGCCCGTTAACACCTCGAGCATCAACACCCCAAACGCGTACACATCGGCCTCCCTCGTTAGGACCTTGCTCACAGCCTGCTCGGGGGCCCGGTATCCTCCGAGCACGGCAATTGCGCGGGCCGGGCTCTGGAATAGTGTCAGCCCGAAATCAGATATACGGGCCACACCGTCCTTGTCGAGCAAGACGTTGGACGACTTCACGGCCCCGTGCGGGGCCCGCGGGCCCACGTGGTCGTCGTGGGCCCTGGCGACCCCCCGAGCGGCCCCGAGGATGAGCCCGATTCTCGTGGTCCAGTCGAGCGGGACTCTACCGGGCCCTCTATTTCCTGCTTTCACGTAAAACACAAAAAAAATAATAAATAAATAACTAGTGAATTTATTGCGGCAAAATTAGCCATATCACGGCTTTTTTCGAAATTGTAATTTAATCACAACCTTTTAACTTGTGCAAATTATATCACAATCTTCAATTTGTTGCAAATCGGTGCACGCATTCTGGAAAATCAGTTCTAAAAAAATTGATGTGGCCGAAGAACAAACTGAAAATTGAGATATAGTTTGCACAAGTCCTGCACCAATCTGCAACACATTGAAGATTGTGATATAATTTGCAAAAGTGAAAATGTCGTGATTTAATTGCAGTTTCGAGAAAAGATCATGATATTATTAAGAGCAATTTTGCTAATTTATATCTGTTACCGTGAAGAAGTTCGTGCAAGCTGCCGTTGGGCATGTAATCGTAGACGAGCAACTTCTCCTCCCTCGCGTAGTAATAAGCTCTCAACCTCACGATGTTCGGATGCCTCAAATTCCCAATCAAATCCATACACCGCTCGAATTCTTTCCGGTCGGACGAGCTAATGTCCTTCAACCTCTTCACCGCCACAGTTCCCCTATTTCCCTCGAGCACGGCCTTGTAAACTGTGCCCAAATTACCCTTCCCAAGCACCTCGGCCGATGCACGGAGTAAATCCTCGAGCTCAAACCGATTCTTCTCGTCGAAAAAAACGAGTCCGTTTGTATGCGTGGGGCCAGCACTTTCGTTATTATCTATGAAACCCTTATGGCTCGAGTGGCTGCTTCTTTTTCCGCCCTCACTTGCCGCTAGCGAATTTGTTGAGTCAGTTTTGGTTTTCCGGCAGCAGCAGAGGAATATCACCCACGAGAAGAGCACTAGCAGTAGAATCGAAATTAGTGTGGTTAGGGATATTAATGTTCTTTTGTTCATCCTTTTGCGTTGATTTTCCGGTGGAGTTGGGGGAGGGGTTGGATTTGAATTGGTGGAATTGGAGGAAGACGAGCAATTGGTGGAATTAAGGCAGAGAGCTTCGTTGCCGGAAAAGCTGGTCTGGCCGAATTTTGTGAGTAGGGATTTTGATATGGAGCCGTTCAATTCGTTGTTCGAGAGGTTCAGATGGCGGAGATTTGGGAGTGAATCTAGGGATTTTGGGATTTGGCCGGTGATTTGGTTGTCCTGGAGATTGAGGGTTACGAGGCGGGAAAGAGCGGAGAGGTTTTGGGGGATGGGGCCACGGAGGTTGTTGTTGGAGAGGTCGAGGCGGAGGAGGCGGCGGAGTGAGGGGAGATCCGGCGGGATCTGGCCGGAGAAGTCGTTGCCGGAGAGGTAGGCGAGCTTGAGGTTGGGGCATCTGGTGAGGGGGGAGAGGTCGCCGGAGAGGCGGTTGTTGCGGAGGTCCAGGAGGCGGAGCTGGTCGAGGGAGGAGAGGGCGGAGATGGGGCCGCGGAGGGAGAGGGAGGGGAGGACGACGGCGATGACGCGGAGGCGGGAGCAGCGGACGCCGGACCAAGCGGCGGCGCAAGCGGTGGGGGCGGCGGGGGTGGTGGTCCAGTTGGGGAGAAGGGCGCCGTGGGGGTCGGTCTGGGAGCGGAAGAGAGAGAGGGCGGCGGTGTCGTTGGCGGCGGAAGAGATGGACAGGGCGAGGAGTAGTGTGGCGGCGGAGAGGAGGAGAGAGGGGAAATGGAGTTCCATTTGCTGAAATGCTACGGAAAAGCGGGAAAGTTTGGTCATATAAAGAAGTTTTTTTATTTTAATTTTTTTTAAAATATTATTTGAAACGAAAATATGGTGGAGAGAGAAGAAAACAAACTACTTTGGTAGAATTTGATATGAGAATTTTTTCAAAATATTATCACATCCGAGAAAAAAAATGAGATGTGGAAAACATAATTTTAGAAAAGTTGATAGTAGGTGCAAATTTACATGCAGAAAATACCAATTAAGANCAAAACTATCAATAGGCATCAAATGGTTGAATTTTTCCTTTTATGTCTTGTTATAGAAAGTCAACATTACATCACGACAACAATCTATATGTTCCTATAATCCTGTAGACTTTATATTTTATTTATAAAAAATAAAAAGGAAATGACGCATGGATATTGTATTTTGACCATATGTGATGAATAAAACCTTCTTAAAATCAAAATATTCGCAGATAAGCTGAGCATCTCAAACCTGAAACGCTGAAGTTTTAAAAATAAAATTTGTATAAAAATCAATGTCCATTCCATGATATGAGCCATGCCATGTATAAATTTAACATAAAAATTGTGATGCTCCATTTTCAATTTTCCACATTCACTTAGAAAGCTAAATCGTTCCAAATTTAACTTGTAGTGATTTTATTGAAGAAAATAATTTTACCTACACTGTTTATATGTTTTTGAATGGATGCAGATGAGGTGTATATATTTCAAACGTAAGTGATGTAAATTAAGTTCCGTTCATTAATTGACATGGTTAAAAAATTGGTATCATCGAAAGTCTAGTATTACAAATCCGCTATTCACACCATATCATAAATATTCCATTATTTTCAAGGTTTCTATCGTTCATAATCGTTTCATTATTATTCATTACTAGAAGATTTTT